TGTCTTGCGCAACTAAAGGGTTTAGTAGTGAACGCATACAAACGAATAACGTTAGTATCTATATAACTAAATTATTGTCCTGTGGAGTTGATTTAACTTCCAGACACATTTTTTTAAGTAAATATTAAATGTTTTGTGGCTATTTATGAGATATTATTACAAATTCCCATTCTACTTCGTTAATATCATTAATTAAATTTGCGACAATTTGAACAAAGAAGTACGACGACTGGATCACTGTGTACAGGTTGATGATATGGCAGCAAGCAGTCTCCAGGCGACCATATATCTTGGATAAGTCGCTCCACAATTTTGTCATTTGGACCGTCGACTTCCTATGGCGTCACCTGCTACATATTTACTTCTAATTTCAGTATGAAATTACATTATTTCAGAGTAAAAATAAGTTTGATCATGTTCTACATGCAGCACCAACATTACAATAAGTAAATATACCATATTTCTTCATTACTTATGTAATGCTAGGAAGATTTGGGTAAATTTGGGTATATTTGGGTAATTCTACGGACATCCTGCACCTTATAAGAAGGGGTCCAGGTTTTAGCTCATGATCCCTGGTTGACCTAAAAGAACTCGGCAACTGATAACACCTAGTAGTTAGGCACTAGATCAGCATTGTAGCTTCAGAGAGCCACAAGGGGCTCCCACTAGAAAAAATTATATTTTCCAAGAACTATCACACAGCAACAATCCAGCAATGACTAAAATGAAATGTTTTTTCTGTTAGGACTGGTGTGGCACCTGTGCCACACCAGGCACAGATGCCAAAATATTCAGGCTGTCATGAAGCTGGTCAGCGAACAGCTCAAATACTGCCAAGATGCACAAAATAACTGCCAAGTGAGCACAATCCCTGTGATCCTCACAGCGAAGGCTCTGGGAAAACAAATGCAGCTAGATACAGAGTTGCAACCTGCCAACATCCTTAAAAGGAACCAGAGCAAACAAGCAACCCTCAAGTGGCACAAAACAGGATTGCCCAAGAACACTTGAAAACCTGAAAGACAGAACCCACTTCCCATCACTTAATGTTCAGGTTTAGCAAAAGCCATGCCAAGCCCCAAGGAAAACAGAGGGTTGCAAGTAAGGTATCAAAATCAGGAACCTCATACCAGAGCCAAAAGACAGAAGCCGACCCCAATTCAAAGAAAACCGGGTCCAAAAGGGAAGTGAGGTCTTGAACGCACAGTAGGAACCAAAAGAAACCACCTAAGCTGTAGAAGGTGCACAGCTTCAGAAGATGACTGAAACCTCTGAAACAAAGATGCTTCTGCTGATATTAATGGAACTCCAACCCAAAAATCCCTAAAAATGAGACGGGCTGACTCCAGGACAATCACACAGGAATAAAAGGTGACACCCCTAGTGTCAGCACCTGCATCAGAGGAGCTCCAGGATATTTCACAATTCCTAAGTATTGTAGTACAGGTTGATGATAGTGAGTGGTGTCCCAGGGAACATAAAGGTATAAGCTTTTGAAAAATAGGCAAGATAACACGAATGTGCAAAGTGAAGTAAAAAAAATTGGATGAGAAAAAGTGACCCCTAGTGTTTACAGTGCAGACAACAACATTCAAGATGGCCACCAGCAAGAAGGAAAACAAAGAGCTACATTTTGGGGGTTTTAATGAAGAAAGTATTGATATAAGCAGTCTACACAACAAATTGGCAAAATTAGATACTGTATTATAGTGAACTATTATGTAGAAATAATCAGCAAATAAATAATTAGCAAATTGAAAGAAAGTAATGAGAACTTGAGTAGCATGATTTTAGGTCTTGAGGGGTTAGTGAAAGACTTATGCAAGGACAAGAATCAATTGGAAACAATTGCAAAGCCATGGAAGAAGAAAATAAACTCTTAAAAATAGCTTTGTAAGAAGTTAAAGCAAATTTAAACTTAAACGACTACGATACGTTAGGTAAGGAAATTCAACGGAAAAACAGCTTTGGTCAGTACAGATGGAGGAAGTTACACAGGGAATAGAACAGTGCAAGAAAGATATGCAACTCACCTATGCACAAGTGGCCAAGGAGAAGGAAAAAAATAGAAGCAGCAGTCAAAGAAGCCAAACACTGCAGCAACCAGGATAAAACAAACATTAGGCTGGAAGTCAGAAAGGAACTGGCATCAAATGCTAAATTGGTGAAAAAGACAGTTGATTGCAGTAAGTCTTTGTTAATTTTTGGTTGCAAAGAAAAGGAGATAACATCTAGGTCAGAAAGAGCTGTTGAAGAAGAGATAGTATTAGATAAAATTGTTGGCCTCGTAGAAGGTCTTACTACCATCAAGAATGTCTGCGACTACAGAAGGATTGGAAATTACGTAAAAGGGAAAGATCGATAAAAAGAAGAGGACAAAACGGCAAAGACATCCTAAGAGCCAGGGGCCCAGGCCGATTCCAGAGATGAGGCAAACACCGCCTGCCAACATGCGCGCCGGGAAGCATAAAAAAGTGAAACTGCATCCCGCAAAATCGGCGCAAAGAGCTTCAACAAGGCAGCCGACGAGCAAGCCGCCGAGTCTAAGGCACCAGACCCAGGTACGGCCCCAAGCGTCCCCACATCCTCCGCAAGCCAGTCCGAAGACAACTCCAGGAGAGAAAAGAAACGCAAGGTCGAAGCCAAGAGGCCACGGGCGCGCAAGTCCTCAGCAACCTGCGCAGCCGAAAGGGAGGGAACCTGCACAAGGAGCTGCACTACGCCAACATCCTGGGAAAGGGCTGGAGCAAACAGCAGTCATTGAGGTGCTCAAGGTCGCCCCCAGGAAAACCTGAACTACTGTCAAAGCCTCGCCCCACTCAATCGTGCGGGAACGACAGAAGGAAGGTAACCCCAAGCCCCAAGGGCAGTACCTACTGGGCACCTAGGCAAGGTAACCCTAGGCGCATGCAGCCCGTGTACTGTAGAATAACTCCTGGTCTTGCACCCCTAGAAGACAGCCACCACACTCGAAGCACAGTGCTGAAAAATCACTGGAGCCAGAGCACATGACCTCTGCCTCTAGCATCAGCCTTAGAACTGAAGGGTGGATGGCCAGTACAAGGGTCTGGGGCGTCCCCTACCCCCTCCCGGGAGGGGGGAGCTGCTCAGACAGCGGCGCAGTGACATGTGACATCATGCTCGTTTGCTCGCTTCTTTTCAGGGAGTTCTATTCACTTCTTCGGCTTTTTGTAGCAATTTTCACCAGAATAGGGATTTGTTTTGGGACGCTTACCTTTCTGGGTACCTTACCCGGTCGATGGCAGACATAGAATGCTTTCAACAACACGGGGGATTCTATTGGCCATTGCTCCCCATGCCTCTCTAAGGGGGCCAGGTTCTGGCTCGTGGTCCCCAGTAGGCCCACAGAACTACAATACTATAGTTTGTTTCCTTGTCATATCCAATATGAGAATGAGAAAGAAAAAATACTGGAGCATGCACAGTACTCTGGTGGACTGAACTCTCTACGGTTGATGGTTCGAATTTTACTTTGTTGACTATTACACACAAGGTTCTGTTAAGAAATTGTAGATCCATCTTCTTATTTTTCCAGTAATTGCTTTTGAACACATTTTATGCGCAATAACACCATGGTGTTATCATATGCATGTTGTATGATATCAACACCATACGCTGTAGTATGGCCTCTCAGAAATATACGCTGTAGTATGGCCTCCCAGCAGCATACGTAGTAGTATGGTCTCTCAGTGACAAACTCTCAAACTCACCAGAGAAATAACTGTCAGAGCAGGGGTAAATTATAAAATGAGCACCTAGGAAAGAATTGTCATAAACACACACAGCTTAAAACAATGAAAAGACCAAGTCCTAGAAACAAGTGAGGTTTGAAAAACATGTTTGTGAAGCAAATACCAAAGTAGGGGAACTACATGCTAGCAAATATTCCCCAAAGTATGGTGTCCAAACAATGCCTTACAATTATCTTAAAAGAAGTGGGACTCGCTAACCAAATGACTTAAGAAGGTCTACTTTTGAAGACATCACCAACAGGACATAAGGTTATGATAATGTGGAAGCCTGGAGCTCTTGGTGGTGCTGCCACCTGCAAGTGGCCAGCCTTACCTAGGGGTTCAAACTAGCTTCTGAGTGAATCATTTGTGGAATTATCTGGTGGTCTCAGTTCATACTTTCTGTAAACCTTAAAATTGTCTGTATTATTTCACTTATTTTCTGGATGTTTTCTCAGTGAGAATAATCATAACAATCTCCTGCTCCTTGTGTATGGAGGTTCTGGATCTGGTCCCAGTAGACTATACAGGACTGCTAGGCCTGATGCGACTCAATTTATGCAAAGGGAAGGTGGCTGCCTGAAGCTAGCTTCCTTAGAACTAGCTTCACACAGCCAGCATTCAGCCTCTTCAGAAAAAATACAAAACATGGGAGGAGGAGGAGGAGTGGCACTGTTGATAAAAAGACATATGGTACTTTGAAGCACTAACCACTGAAGAGGCAAATAAATGCCAGGACTACATCAGAGGAGTGATAGATAAGTGCAGAGAGACAGCAGTAGTGGCAGTGAACTGACCATGGAATAGCCTACAGCACCAGGCAGAAAAGTGAGGGGGCAGGTTGGCCACCTCACATCAATGGCTGTATGTCAACCATTCACCCTCAGTGAGAGGTTGTGGCTGTCATACGGTGGCAGTTGGGCCCATCACAATTAGGTTACGGTATTTATTCTGTGGTAATAATCATTTGCCTTGTTTATCTTTGGGTGCCTTATGTCCTTTAATATGTTACTTATTTTATTGTACCTATGTGTTTTGGTGGGCTTTTAATCTGTTTTGAGTCAATCTCTGATCCCAAAGCTCTCATCACCTCAAAGAGTAAGCAAGATTCTAGTCCTGGCTTAGGTAGGTAGGGATGGATCGCAGAAGAATGGTATTATTAGCAAAGGCTCATTAACTCTGGGATTGACTGATCAGAAATAAACAAATTAATAAATTATATACTAGTACTCATTACTGTCTTACCTGGGATGTCGAAGCATGTGTATCTTGATGAGGAACACCTTCAACTATTGAGCTTTCTTGAATATCTGCCCGCTTTTCTGCATTGACCACCTCCAACTGAAACATTATATACAGTAATAGCATCAGTTCAAGGTGTCTACAAATTTGATTGTCAAAATGTTTATTTCCTAGCAGGGAGCCCTATGGGGGGCTCCCTAAGCCTATATCGCATAGATAATTTCAATTACTCAGTCACATCAGTCATAGGTGTCATGTTGGCCTATCTGGCTCTAAAATAATAATTTCCTACAATTAGGGGTAAGGGGCCCTACGTTTCATGTGTACAAAATATTGGCACATGGTGTGAATGTTAAATATAATAACTATGGTCCACATATCGCAGTGGAAAAGCACTCGCCCGGTGCTTCGCGAGTGCTTTGGCCTGGGTTTGTATCCTGGCCAGGAAGGATTGACTGGGTGCCAATCCTTAACTGTAGCCTCTGTTCACCCAGCAGTGAATGGGTACCTGGTTGTTAAACGATTTGGCGGGTCGTATTCCGGGGAAAATTAAGATTAAAGACCTGACCGAAATGCTATGCAAGCTTAGAATGTAAGAAAAAAACCAGCATTGAATGTAATGAAACGTCATTTTCTTGGTGAGACCTGGAAGCTCCCCGTAGATATCCAGGCTGATATCTAACTATTAGCTTTCTGGTATCAAAGTGAATGGAGTTCTTGCCTACCGGGGACCACGACCCAGAACCTGGCTCCCTCAGAAAGGCACGAGGAGCAATGGCCTATAGAAATCCCTGTGTGGTTGGAAGCATTTTATGTCTGCCATCAACCGGGTCAGATACCCAGAAAGATAGGCACCCCAAAACAAACCCCTATTCTGGTGAAAATATTGCTACTGAAATCCGAACGAGTGGACACAACTCCCAATGAGAATTAGCAAACGAGGATGATGTCATCATCCTCATTTGCCGTGCCACTGTCTGCGCAGCCCCCCTCCCCCCCTCCCGCAGGAGGAAAAAAAGGGAAGCCCCAAACCCTCGTACCGGCAGCCCGATGATCCAACCGGCAGTTCTTAGGCTAGATATAAAAAATACTCGAAAACACCGCCGACTTTAGGGAGGAAGGAAGGGAGGGATGCCGGGGAGCCTAGGGGTCTCACCCAGAAAATGGCGTTTCATTACATTCTACGCTGGCTTTCTGGGGGAAGCCCCATTGGCTCCCTGGAGTTAACTACCTAAAGATAAGGAAAAAATAGGGATTTACCCGGGAGGCAGGCAGTCCTCACTCCTCAACGCGAAGTCGAGACAACTGGCTGCAACCGCCGACCCAATGCAAGGCAGGACCTACCAGGTCCAGGGACATTGACAGGGTAGCGAGCAGCCAGGACCCTGTTTGACCTCCAAAACTCTGTGCCCGAATGTCAACCCAGGACATGTTGCCAAAGACGGCAGCCAAAGCAGCAAACTCACGAACGTCGTGGGCACAGGGATAGACTGCAGGCTGGCTAGACTTAATAACCCTGAGGACGACCTGAGAGACAGGAGTTTAGGAACAGGGAAGGAGGGAAACCTGGTCAACCCAAAGTGCATCCCCAGCCACCGAAGCTGTGGCGCCCAAATAACTGCAGAGACACACAACCGGACACAACACACGATGCACACCCGGCCTGACCAACCAAGCATCAACAACCCAAGAATGCCTCCAGAAAGCAGCAGTCTCATTTTTTGCCGGAAAAGATTGAGACTGTTGCAACCGAACAAACCTACCACCAGGACCGAAGGAGCAGAAACCTCTGCCCCAGAGGAGAGCATGAAGCTCCTCAACCCGATCCCCAGAGACCAATGTCAACAGAAAAATGCCTTAGAAAAACAATCCTGAATTAAAGGGGCCACAACAAACCGAGGAGAAGAGAGAAAAGAGAGCACCTGGTCCATAGACTAGGACGGCTCAGGAGGCACATGAGCAGGCTAGAGGTAATACAAAGCACGAGACAGCTTGAGGAACGGGGAAAAAGTAACATCAATACTGAACGCAAGCTGGAGCGGCTCCGCCAGCACCGCATGATACGAGGCGACAGCATTCGGCATAAGATTGTCCTGGAACAACTACGAAAGTAAGGACAAGACAACCCTATCAAGGACCAAAGTACACCTATGCAGTGATAGGAAAAACCGGAAGGACTGCCAGAAAACATTCTGCAGCTGAGACGAAGCATGCAGGTATGAGACCAACAACGAAGCCACCTGCGCCCCATACAAGTGATGATGGACTCGAGTCAGAAACTCCAGATGCGAAGACTAAAGGAGAAAAACAAATCAGCCTCGTACCGGGCTGGACCTATCTGCTGAAAGAGGCGGAGCCACGGGAAGACCCTCCGGTTTGGGCACAGAGCAAGAAGCGCCTGAAACCATGGCGCCTGTTGTTATGCTATGCTATGCCCCTGCTATGCCCCTGTTACCTAGCAGTAAAATAGGTACCTAGGTGTTAGCCAGCTGTCACGGGCTGCTTCCTGGGGGTGGAGGCCTGGTCGAGGACCGGGCCGCGGGGACACTAAAGCCCCGAAATCATCTCAAGATAACCTCAAGATATGGCTGGGCCAGCCACCAAGGAGCCAGAAGGACAACTCTCCCCTGGTAAGTCTCCAAGTGAGCCAGGACCTGGAGCAACAGCCGAACCGGGGAAAAGAGGTACAGGTAACCCCACCTTGCCCAGTCCTGACTGAAGGTGTTGACCCCGAGGCCTCGCAGTTGGGGAAGGGCCCCATGAATACAGGGAGACACCTCGACCACGCCAAAGTGAAGAGATCCACTTCAAGAGGCTCGCATGTCTGGTAGAGCCAACTGAACGAGTTGGCGTCGACCATCCATTCCGTGGACGGGGAAATGAACCGGGACAGGCTATCCGCCAAGACATTGGACACCCCCCAAAAGTGAACCACCAGGAGAGCCAAACCCCGAGAACTCAGCAGACGAGTCACCCGAAGTGACCAGCCCCAAAGAGCCAAGGACCGTCTGGAACCCACCTCGGTTCAGGCAATAAACCACTGGGGTAACAGTCAGAATGGAGCCAGATCGTCGATCCGCGAGCAACCCAAATCCTCCAGAGCGACATCCACTCAGCCACAAACTCCCGATCCATGCTGTCAGCCCGACAGAAATTTGGACCCCATCGTCCCTGGCCGGCCTGCTGAACAGGCCGTCACAAAGCCCCAGCGAAGAGATGACGTGTCCGTGTGCACAACAAGCGAGGCCTCAGGTAGGCGCCAAGGCACTGAACCCTGAAAAACCCAAAGAGGAAGCCGGTGACGCAGCAACCAATGCAAAGCCCCCAGAGGCCGAACCCAGTGGTCGTGAGAGGCAGAAGGAACGTCCTCGAAGGAACCAGAACAGCCGATGAAGCCACACCCGACCTGGCAGGCGGGTGGACGGGCGGGCAGGCAGGATGGCAGGCTGGCAGAGAGGGAGGGAGGGAGGAAGGCAGGCTGGCAGAGAGGGAGGGAGGGAGGGAGGCAGGCTGGCAGAGAGGGAGGGAGGGAGGGAGGCAGGCTGGCAGAGAGGGAGGGAGGGAGGGAAGGAGGGAGGCAGGCAGGCTGGCAGAGAGGGAGGGAGGGAGGGAGGGAGGGAGGGAGGGAGGCAGGCAGGCTGACAGAGAGGGAGGGAGGGAGGCAGGCAGGCTGACAAGAGAGGGAGGGAGGGAGGGAGGCAGGGAGGGAGGGAGGCAGGCAGGGAGGGAGGCAGGCAGGGAGGCAGGCAGATAGACAGGGATGGATGGGTGTTGAGGTGAACCACGTGACTTTTGAGAGAGTGTATGGGATGTAGGGGTGGGGGGTGGGGAGGGACTGACTCACTCCGATAAGCCTAATCGCACTCGACCCATTAGCCAGATTTGTTTCTCAAATTCTGGATGTGCATCATCATATATATTTTTGGTTACAGGTTTTGTTCAGTAATATTATTAGGATAACAAAAAGTTATAAAAATACTTATTTCATGAATGCTTAATTTTATTAGATGGAGATTCTCTGGTTGGCAATCTACTAAGCTAACCACTTTGGGGGAAGGGAGGGCAGCAGCACCAGGCAGAAACACCAGGAACGTCATACTGTCGCCGAGACGAAGCTCGCAGGTGGGACACCATCAATGAAGCCACCTGATCACCATAAAGATGGTGATACCCGTCAAAATACCAGACGTGAAGAGCCGAGGAGAAGGCTGAACCAGTCACATACAGGACCAGTTCGACCTGCCGAAAGAGGCGGAGCCGCGGGAAAACGCCCCGGGTTCGGACACCTATCAAGCAACGTCTGAAAATAAAGCTGGTCTGGCCACCAAAGGCCCATGAGGACTATTCTCCTTGGGAATGGACTCCAACCGAGCCAGAACCCGATGCAACAGCTGGACCGGGAGAAGAGGAACAGATACCCCCACCTCGACCAATCCTGCCGAAAGGGATCCACCGTGAACGCCTCGCAGGCGGGTAAGGACGCCACATAGAATGGGCAACGCCTAGACCACGCCGATGTGAAGATACCCATGGCCAGGAGTCCATATGTCTGGCAGAGCCAACGGAATGAGTCGGTGACGACTGGACAATCTGCAAACAGAGGAATGAACCGAGACAGGCTGTCCGCCAGGACATAGGACACACCCCGGACATGAACCTCACAGTTAGCCAAACCCTGAGAATCCAGCAAAAGAGCTACTCGAAGGGATCAACCCCAAAGGTCAAACACCTAAGAGAAACTTTGTGGTTCCGGCAAAGATCCGCCAGAGAACAGTCCAAATGAAGCTGGATGGTAGAGCACCGAGTGACCCGAACTCTCCGAAGCGCAAACCAGACAGCCACGAACTCCCGAACCATGCTGTGAGCCTGACGGACGGACAGACCCCACCATCCCCGGCCGATCTGGTGAGCACTGGTCACAAAGCTCCAGCCAAGAGATGACCCGTCCGTGAACACATCGAGCGAAGGCTCGGGGAGGTGCCAAGGCACGGAACCCTGAAAATCCCAAAGAGGAAGCTGGTGACACAGCACCAACACAAGATCCCTGGAGGACGACCCCAACGACTGCAAGAGAGACGGAAGGGGAGACTCCGAAGGAACCAAACAGACACCGAAGCCAAACCCGACCCCGCGGGCAGACCAGCACGTCGAAGTTCGGACTCCCGCACAACTGGTCGAGCATCCGCCGGGCAACCTGGGACCCCCTCATAAACAGCCGAAGGCGGGACCACAGCCGCAGCAACACTTCTGGAGGGAAAGACAAGGAGCAGCCCAAGAGCCCTAAACAAGACCCAGCCAGGTTCGAATCCGGGACAAAAACAGATGGAACGGCCTCCAGATCACCAAGAAACCAAACCCAGCGATCTGGTAAGAACCACACACTTTGAATGAGTGAGGGAGCCGCCAGCTGACTGTGTGTATAGCGACGACTCTTAGTGCCTGAACTAACTATATAAGCTTAGTTGTACAGTTGTGGTGAACAAAACATGTTGATTCTTATATATAACATCTGTATATTGTGAATAAAATATAAAACAGGATGGTGGGAGGAAAAAGTGGGCGAGTGAGGCGTTGTTGAGGGAGTGGCAATGAGTGGCTGGCTGGTGTGTGGCGGTCATTCCTCGTTGCTTTTCGACTCTCAATACCAACTTAGTGGTTCATTATCGTGGACAAAACATGGAGATACTTATATATAACCTGTGTATAGATTGTAATAGCAGCAAAACTATTTGTTTATTGTTTTATGAACATAATAATTGAGTCACTAATATGCACACCATACTTTTGAGTATAGGGATTATTCACCACTTTTATTATGCAAATATATAACAATACACACTATTGACTAATATTACTGCAAAAAAATGTCCTCAGGACCCCTGAGCAGTGGAAGGGTTAAAGAAAAGTTAGAGTCCATGGGCAAGGCAGCAAGAAATGGCCGCTGGTAAGACCCAGAAGCCTTGGCAGGAGGAACAGGCTCGGAAACCTCCGTCCCCAACCCAAACGGGGCAGCCCCTGAAACCACCTGAGTCTTGGCCCCAACTAAATCCCGCAGACGGTTTGGAGCCGGGAACAGGGAGGAAAAGGGGTGAACAGCACCTAACCAAAATGGGGCGGCCCTGGGGCATCCGAATGGGAAACCAACCTAGCGTGTTGCAGAAACCTAAAGTAGCTTGCAACACGGATGCCGCCTGTACTCTGAACAGTAATAACATCAAGAGAGAGTACTGAAGAACAAGCAGAGAATATATATCACTCAAAACTCCGGGTCAAGGTGTCAGTGACCCAACAGGCAGCATGACGGAGGTAAAAGTGGCGACTGTCACCCGGAGACAGGGGCACAGCAACCAACGAACCCGTACAAGATGGGTTGGAACCCTGAAGACACATTCAATGGTCCACCGAGTCCCGACAGGGTTTTCCAGGGCCCGTAGGGTAACAACTACAGGAAGCCCGAGCAAGGTGTTGCTAACCAGTTAAAACCTAAAACTAACAATGGGGTAGAGGACAACACTGAAAACCCCTGCGACGTGTACAATCATGGGGCCATAGCAGAGGGCCACCAAATACTACCAGTGGAACTATAGCCACACTAGGCAGACCTCCCACCAGACAAATGAAATTAAAAACAAAAGAAAACCCCCACAAAAGAACACTGTCTCCAGAGGCAACAGGAAGCCGCTTAAGTGGCAGGTCGCACAACACCTTGATGCCCTAATCAGCACAATACCAGTCCCTTCCCTGGGCCAAACAAGGGCCCCAAGCCCCAGCTGGCCGCAAGGGTGAGGCAAATGCTGAGCAGCAAGAACCCCTATGGGAATGGTTCCTGAACGCCCCAGGGAAGATAACCCTGTAACGCAGAGGCAGTACTCACAGGGTGCTTAGGAAAGGAAGCCCCTAAGCGCATGCAGCCCTGGTACTGATGAGGGACACTTGGCCACCACACAACACAACACATGGCAGTGAACGCCACGAAGGCAAACACCGCCTAGGAAACCGAAGCCAGAGAAGCGTCTGTCCCGGTTGACATTAGCTTACGAACTGGCCCTAGGTAGCCGGTGTGGTGAGGTCCGGGGGCCCCCCCTCCCCCTCTTGGGGCAGGGAGGGCTGCGCGGACAATCAGCGCAGCGGTAGTGTGATGTTTGTTTGTTTCCTTGGGATTGTCGGGAGTTTCTACCTCTATGTTTGGTTTTTGTTTTAGTTTCTTACCATGTGGGGTTTGTTTTGTTATGCCTACCTTTCTGGGTGCCTAACCCCGGTCTATGGCAGAGAAGGAAAATCCCCAACCACAAGGGGGTTTTCCAGGGTCATTGCTCCCTGAAACCTCTCTGAAGGGGACAGGTTCTGGGACTGGTCCCTGGTAGGTCTGAACTCCATAGCTAATGTCCTGGTCTAATATAACATACATTAGCCCAATAAGCTCCAGGGAGCCATAGGGGCTTCCCACAGAAAGAATATGAAAACTCCCTGGAAAATCTTTTAATTATGCATAAACTGTCACCTACAATTCAAGTGAATGAGGCAGTAAGCCAAGGTTGCATTGCAAAGTTGTTCACCTGAAAATGTTCATATACTTTCACATTAATTAGTCATTGTACAGTCACTTATTTGAAAATAGAACATAATCACTTTTTCCAGTCATTTGCTCACCATTTTAGCCTCAGTATTTTTATCAGTCTCTCATAATGAGCTGTGCAGGGGGTTAAAACAGCAGTGAAGCCTACCTGCTGGCCGATAACTCGTACCTCCTGCTGACCGCCTGCACTCATCACCTGCTGAAGTGCTTCCAATGTCACCTCCCGCATCTGCTGATCAGTCTCATCAACCTGCAAGATTTCAAATGAAAAATTAAGACAACATATGTTGAGAAAAACGTTGGTTAAGAGGTAACCCCTGCCCCCCAGTTGTCACAAGTGAAGTAGTAGTTCCTGCTCCCCAGTTAACCGAAGTGAAGATGTGGCACCTGCTCCCCTACCGACACAAGTGAAGAGGTATTCCATGTTTCCCCTGCTGACACCAAGTATGAGAAATCCCTTGCTTCCCTGTTGGCACAAGTTAAGAGGTGCCCACTTTTTCCCTATTGTCACAAGTGAAAAGGTAGCCCCTGCTCCCCTGTTGTGACAAGTAGTAGCCCCTGCTCCCCTGTTGTGACAAGTAGTAGCCCCTGCTCCCCTGTTGTGACAAGTAGTAGCCCCTGCTCCCCTGTTGTGACAAGTAGTAGCCCCTGCTCCCCTGTTGTGACAAGTAGTAGCCCCTGCTCCCCTGTTGTGACAAGTAGTAGCCCCTGCTCCCCTGTTGTGACAAGTAGTAGCCCCTGCTCCCCTGTTGTAACAAGTAGTAGCCCCTGCTCCCCTGTTGTGACAAGTAGTAGCCCCTACTCTGCTGTTGTAACAAGAGGTAATCGCTGGCTAACATCTGTGAAGTCATCCAGGGATTTAGTGTTGCTGGACATTGTCGTATTTAACCCTTAAATGGCGCATAGCTATATACCATTTGACACCCACAGGCGCATACCAAAAAAAAAAAAAAAAAAAATTATTTTTTCTTCCTAACCTGTTAATTTGTGTTCACTGATCACGGGAAAAATAATAAAAAAATCGTAAGTGGCACATATTGCCCACTATAGGGCGGGGAAGTGTGACAAAAATCAGGCGCTGACTCAGCGTGCGTCCCAAGGCGGTCTGTTGATCGCCAGCTGTCAGGCCAGAGTTGCCACAAAGAGATAATTACCTAATTATTTCAATGTGTCTGATTGATTTTTCGTAGTTTTTTTGCTGTAATATTATTCAATAGTGTGTAGTGTGATATATTTATATAATAAAATGAGTGAATCATCGCTGTACTCAAAAATATGGTGTGCGTATTGTTGATTCAATTATGTTCATCAAACAGTGAACAAATACTTTGTCAGTTATTACACTATATACACAGGTTATATATAAGTATCTGCATGTTTTGTTCACCATGACAAACCACTAAGTTGGTATGCTGAGTGGCAGGCAGTGACTGGCTGCCACTGGCTGCCACTCCCTCCCTCACCTCACCTCACCTGCCTTGCCACCATTCTCCACCCACCATACTGTTTTTGCTTTCATATACAGACGTTATATATAAGTATTTACATGTTTTGTTCACCATAACTGTACATCTAAGCTTGTATGGTGAGTAAAGGCAGAGAGACGTAGCTACTCACACAGTCAGCTGGTGGCGGCTGCCCTCAAGGCCAGACGCACTAATATTTCTCCTACAACAATACTGTTTGTGGTGTTATTATGCTATATACACACAGTATATATAAATATCTACCTGTTTTATTCACCATACTTGTACAAGTAAACTGGTATGGTGCCCAAAGACCATCGTGGTCATCAGTAAACAACATGATAAGTCCTGCAGACGACGCTCCTCCCTCACCAAAATGGCGGCTCCCAACCTCCTACTCTCGCTGTTATCTCACACTATACACACGTTATATATAAGTATCTACATTTGTGTTCACCATAGCGAACCACTAAGCTGGTATGGTGAGTGCAGTCAATAAAAGGTGGCCACACACAGTCAGAAGACATCGCCACCACCGTCCCTCCCACAGCATTACTCCTCCCTCCATGGCGCACAGCGCCAAATATCACCACAATCCTGCTATTATCAGAACCCTGGTCAGTTTTATCACAGTCAGGGGTCTTCTGTAATAATATCATCGCTACATAATAGCATGAACAAGTATATTATGGCATTTATAGGCGATGCTGTGGTCACAAGCTGAACAGCAGTGCTGTGAGCTCATGCTGCGTGCGTCAGGCTTGGTAGCTCACTCAATACTGAGGCCCCTAACACCCTGGAGTTTGGCCCACGATTTTTTTAAAAAATGGCGTCTGTTTACAAGAGCCCTGATGAAGGTGTGGTGAACCCCGTGTATCCGCGGGCCGTTTAAATCTTGCGTAGTACTCCAAAGCATCATATGATGCGATGCGCAATTTACTGCAAGTCGGTCAAAGCATCATATGATGCGATGCGCAATTGAAGGGTTAAGAACTGAAGGACAAAAGCTACGAGGAGAAATTAGAGGCATTAAATATGCCAAAAACTAGAAGATAGAAGAAAAAAAAGAGGCGATATGAACACTACGTACAAAATAGTAACAGGAATCGATAAAATTGATAGGGAAGAATTTCCGAGACCTGGAACTTCAAGAACAAGAGGTCATAGATTTAACCCTTAACCTGCACATGGCATATGTATATATACGACAGGACCCGATGGAACAATGAGTTAAATTTCTCAAACTTGTTCTAAGGCTTTTCAATTTATTGTGCATAATCTACTAAGCAAACGCTCCAACTTTGTCTAAATGATCACCAACGTAACTTGAAAAACAAGTAAATTAAAAATAATTATAAAATTTAATACTGAAAATTTCCGATTTTCAGATCTGCTGCAAAAATATTATATATTACCAATTGTTCATTAAGTGTTATTATCCTATCAAAATAGTATATGATATTCATATAAATAGAATTAGAATATAGATTTTCAGTTTAGTTTACTGTAAAGAAAATCATCAATATGGCATTTGTAATATGCACCAAATTCAGAAAACAAAATTTATGACTCCAAACTTTTAGAGTTTATGAAAAATCAATTTGAATAGGATTGTAGAACAGACAACTGCGCACACTATATGTAAAAATTATCAGAATCGGTCAGAAACTGGATTTTTCCAAGTTGACTCAAAGTTCAAACTCTAGTTTAGAGGTAAGTGAAGTTGAAGTTATCGACAATATAGCAAGTAGTTCTAATTCATTAATTTACTAGTATGTTTTAATAAAAATTGTTTGGGATTCGTACTCGAATATGTGAAAATTGTAGGTCAATATGTGTTGGAATGAAGTCAAGAAAGAATACCCCCCCCCCTGGGAGCCGGTCGGCTGAGCAGACAGCACACTGGACTTGTGATCCTGTGGTCCCGGATTCGATCCCGGGCGTCGGTGAGAAACAATGGGTAGAGTTTCTTTCATCCTATGCCCCTGTTACCTAGCAGTAAAATAGGTACCTGGGTGTTAGTTAGCTGCCACGGGCTGCTTCCTGGGGGTGGAGGCCTGGTCGAGGACCGGGTCGTGGGGACACTAAAAAAAACCAGCGTTGAATGTAATGAAACGCCATTTTCTGGGTGAGTCCCGGAGGCTCCCCGGAGCTATCCCAGGCTGATATGCTAATGTCAGACTTTGGCATCAGTCATGTGTATGGAGTTCTTAGGCCTACCGGGGACCACGGCCAGAACCGGGCCCCCTCAGAGAGGCAAGGGGAGCAATGGCCTATAGAAGCCCCCGTGTAGTTGGAAGCATTCTATGTCTGCCATCGACCGGAACAGGCACCCAGAAAGGTAAGCGCCCCAAAACAAACCCCTATTCTGGTTAAAATTGCTACCTAAAACCGAACTAGTAGATAGAACTCCCCAACCGAAAACAAGCAAACTAGTGTGACGTCACACACTGCCGCGCCGCTGTCTGCGCAGCTCCCCCCTCCCCGGGAGGGGGAAGGGGGAGCCCCAGACCCCCCGCGCCGGAATACAATCCCTGCTGCGAAGAATCGTTGTTCCAACCAAGTACCCATTTTACTGTTGAGTTAAACAGAGGCTACAGTTAAGAATTTGCGCCCAGTAAATCCTCCCCGGCCAGGATACGAACCCATGACAAAGCGCTCACGGAACGCCAGGCGAGTGTCTTACCACTGCACCACGGAGACTACGACGACTATGGTGTATGATTCAAGATACACCACGACTATGGTGTATGATTCAAAACTCCCGCGGTTACATGGGATTCACATCAGCTTCCTCAGGGCTCTTGTAAAACAGACACCATTTAAAAAAAAATCGTGGACAACATTCCCAGGTGTGAGAGCCTCAGTACTGAGTGAGCAACCAAGGCTGACGCATGCAGCATGAGCTCACAGCACTGCTGTTCAGCTTGTGACCACAGCATCGTCTAATAATGTCAAAATATATATGTAACTGGTATTATTTAGTCATGATAGTGTTACAGAAGAGCCTCAGTGTGATAATGAATGTATACAATGTTCATATATCAGTGAATCAATGCTGTTCAAGATGTTCACAGCGCTAGCCACAGCCCCACAGCATTATTTCGTCCATCTAGGAATCTTCAAACGACTTCTTATGTTCCTTTACAAAATAAACTTGTGGTCAATTATTAATTTACAGGATTTAGTGACCAGGATTGTGATAATAGCAGGATTGTGGTGATAATTATGGCTGTGCATTGTATTGTGGGAGGAGGAATTTTGGTGAGGAAGGGAGGGAATCAAGGTAGCATCACTGTGTGTGGCAGCCACTCTTGTTTGGGCTCACCATACTAGCCTAGTGGTTCGCTATGGTGAACACAAATGTAAATACAGTGGAACCTCGAATAACAAATTTAATTCGTTCCAGCGCCGTGGTCGTCATGTGAAACGGACGTGATTCAAAACGAAGTTCCCCCATAGAAAATAATATAAATAGAAATAATCTGTTCCAGCCCCAAAAACAACAATAAGACATTATACACTGGTAATATGATACTGTACATGTAAAATTAATGTTTTGTTTGACTTCCCATTTGTACATTCATTTTACCTTATGAAGAGTCGTTGCTGGCTAAAGGGAGACGATCGGGAGGTGGGACGGAGGAGAGTGGTTATAGCATAGAGGGAGACTCCACCTGTGGGTCAGGCAGGCTCTCTCTTTTTGGGAATTTAACCTCACTGGGGATCGGGTTGTGGTTCACAATCACTTGCACGTCTTTTCTTACAGTTCTCTTTCTAAAGT